AGCGCACCTCAACAAGGGCAACAACCGAGAAGGAATCGGGGGCTAAAGAAACCTCCACAGCTGGGACAGGGGGCCAGACCACCAAAATGGGAGGGGACGTAATGATAGAGTCAGAGGTGGAAGGCGAGGAAGAAAGTGATGCCTTCTTACCCGCTGGGGAGGAGGAAGGAGAGGAGCCAGGCTTACGTTTCTGACTCGGAGAGACAGGTGTGCCAGCAACCTGGGCAACACTCAATTGTCTCAAAAAGAGGAAAACGGGAATGAACATGAAGATTGTTGGGAGGATGATGGACAACAGCCTGGACAGACAGGCAGCGTGGAGGGCCAAGAGACTGGGGGGGAGGGTTGAGAAGAAGGATCGGGGGAAGATGGGAAAGAAGACACAGGAGACATGGCAGACTGGGTAGGAAGGGGGAAAACTCCAGATGGAGAACCAGGAGGGGGACCCCCTTGGAACAAAACAAAGGAATAGGGAAGGTGGTGGTGGGCGTGCCTGGGTCTAAGGCCTGGAAACAGTTGCGAGACTGAGTAAGGTGGGAAGGACGAGGAGAGGTAGAGAGCAAAATGCGAGCACACGATACCCCAGTGAAAGGGTTGAGACGATGGACTTGGCATCTCGCTTCAGGAAAAGACAGACGATCCCGGTGTTTCAAGTTGAGGACGGCTTCCTCAAGTTTGTAGTGTATACACGTGTGGGAGAAGGTAGAGTGGGGTCTCACTGCAATTGAGGCAGCAAACCTGGGGAGAAGAGCACTTAGTGACCTTTGTTCCACACACAGTACATGTGCATTTAAGGTCACCATGTCCGAACTTCCAGCACTTATTGCAAAGTCTAGGAGAGGGAATGTACTCTTGAATGAAGCATCTGGCACCAGCAAAAATTATAGAAGGCAGAAGGGTCCTACTATCAAAGGTGATTTTCACAACTCGAAGGGGCTGACGGTGACAACCACGAGGGGGGTCGAGTGAACGTGTCCACCTGGAGGACAGAATGGCCTTGGGCTTCAAGGATATGTTTAATATCCTCGTGGCAGTCTTTTTAGGTCCCTAACACCAGTTGCAACATGGTGCGGGAGGAGATCAGTGCCAACACTGGCATTTAATTGAGCGTTCTCAGAACAGGGGTCTCCTCAATGCTGGACAACGCGGCTAAGTGGGTAGCTGCATCCTGAGGAACAGCAATGATACATGTACCAATATGGGTGGGTTTAAAAGTAACAGAGGCATCTGCCAAATCAACAAGGTGTTTATGGCGGGAGAAATCGCCAGGAAGTGTAGAATCCAAATGGTTGAGATCAACGTATTTAGCCCATGTAGCAGGACCAAACAAGGCATGGTACAATAAGCAGGGGAAGGGATCATGCGAGTGCAACCATGGCGGGGACGGCGTTGAGAACCTAAGAGAGAGAGGGGTTAAAAGGCGCAGTAGTCACAATGAAAGATGGAGCCATGCCAGAGGACGAGGTGGTCACCACTGGGGGCTTGGGGCTCGACCCTACCACAGAGGAAGGAAGGGGTAGTAGTCTGGTCTGGGCCCAATGTAGCAGGGGCTACAGAGCCCGTCCTTCCATCACAGTCCGACTCAGGGGCCTGGTCACCCGCCCCATGAGCCTGGGGTTATCTTGAGGTTATCTTGAGATGATTTCGGGGCTTTTAGTGTCCCCGCGGCCCGGTCCTCGACCAGGCCTCCACCCCCAGGAAGCAGCCCGTGACAGCTGACTAACACCCAGGTACCTATTTTACTGCTAGGTAACAGGGGCATAGGGTGAAAGAAACTCTGCCCATTGTTTCTCGCCGGTGCCTGGGATCGAACCCAGGTCCACAGGATCACAAGTCCCGCGTGCTGTCCGCTCGGCCGACCGGCTCGACCGGGGTAAGAAAGGTCGTTTTGTATTCCATACAGCAGTCGTTCTAAAAGTCTGGGGCATGGAACCAAGGGATACCAACTACCAGGGCAGCCAGGGAGGCCGAGCATGGGTCAGTGCAGGAAGGGGTGCGTCATCCCCCTTCCTGCATGGGGGGACGAAAAGAAGGATACCAATATTAACAAGACCTCGTCGTGGAAAATCGTTAAGGACAGGGATCTTAAGAAGACCTTGACAAGGCCGCCTACAGACGCCCTAAAGACATCAAATTCATTTGCCATGTTGAAAGACGAGTGCTGTGGTGAGCCTGCAGTTCACTCGAAAGGGAAATCAACGAAGAGCAACGAAGCGCAGACCCCTCAAAGTGTTCAGAAAGTTAAGGAGGTACCTAAACGAATTTTGGTTGTGGGAGATTCCCAGGTGAGGTATTTAGACAGGACGCTTTGTGCCAGAGATAGGGGAAACAGGTTCAGGGTTTGCTATCCGGGAGCTGGAATTGGAGATATTGTTGACAACATGAAAGATATTATGTCGGGAAATGGGAACAAACCCATTATTTGTATTAGTGCAGGGGGTAATGATGTTGGACGAGTTAGGAGTGAGGAACTGATACAGAAATTTAACAAAGCCATAGAATTAGGAGCAAGGGAGTAATCCCGATCATATGTGGCATTCTTCCAAGAAAGAGCGTTGGGAATGAATGGTTGTTGAGGGCACTTGGTGTCAATTGCCGGCTGGAAAGATATTGCAAATCAAATGCAATATCTTTCATAGACAACTGGGAACACTTCTATGGAAGAAGTGAAAAGTGTGCTCGTGATGGGGTGCATCTATCGAGGGATGGGGTTGTTGCTGTTGCGAACTCGTGGGAACCAGTGGTTAGAGGCATTTGTTTGGGTTTAAACTGTTAGTAGATAGAGGTATGGGAATTGATAGGGAGGAAGGAGGTAATAAAAGTATGTGTTTGTTGAAGAAACAAATTGGCAAAATGATCAGGGAAAGAGAAGGGCCTCAAAATAACAATTCACTTAGGGTATATTACACTAACAGTAGAAGTCTAAGAAACAAAATAAACGAGTTAAATGCTCTTGTCTGTACAAAAAAATAGATATTACTGTATTGCACTTACTGAAACGTGGATGAATGTAGAAAATAGAGAATTATTAGCTGAATATCAAATAAATGGATTTAAACTATTTCACACAGATATATTAGACGAGGAGGGGAAGTAGCCATATATGTTAGGGACAATTTGAAATGTAGTCTCAAAGAGGGAATCAAAACCGAGCCCCACACAAACTATTTGGATAGAATTAAACGAAAAAGCAAATAATATTATAATAGGATTTATATATAGGCCACCAAATTTAGACAGAATGGAAGCAAAGCATCTATGGGATGAAATATCTAAAGCATCTAGATCTAACAGTATTTATGTCATGGGCGACTTTAATTTTAGTGGAATAAATTGGGTGAACAAAACTGAATAATGAAGCAGAAGATTTTCTAGAATTAATTGACGATTGCTTTCTTACGCAACACATTAAGGAACCAATGTGGGGAAATAATATTTTAGATTTAGTGTTAACTAACAGGGAAACACAAATTAAGGACATCGAAATAGGGAGTGAGCTAGGGAACAGTGATCATAAAGAAATCAGATTTAGCATAGAATGAAATAGATCTGTAGGAGAAAATTATGTTAAAGTGCCTGATTTTCGAAAAGCTGATTTCAATAGCCTAAGAAATTTTTTGGGTCACCACGATCCTGCTGTTATCACAATACTGGTCACTAAATCCTGTAAATACATAATTGACCACAAGTTTATTTTGTAATGGAACCTAAGTAGTAGTTTGAAGATTCCTAGATGAACGAAATAATGCTGTGGTGCTGTGGCTATCACTGAACTTCGTGAACAGCATTGAATCACTGATATTTAAACATTGTACACAGTCATTATCACACTCAGGCTCTTCTGTAATACTATGGCTAAATAATACAAGTTATATATATATTTTGACATTATTAGGCGATGCTGTGGTCACAAACTGAACAGCAGTGCTGTGAGCTCGTGCTGCATGGGCCAGCCTTGGTTGCTCACTCACTACTAAGACACTCACACCCGGGAATGTGGACCACGATTTTTTTTAAAGATGGCATCTGTTTACAAGAGCCCTGAGGAAGCTGATGTGAACCCATGTAGCCACTGGAGTTTTGAATGGAATGTGAAAAATACAAATACCCGGAGGAGCGTAGTGCACCCCAGATGTGGGCCTGCAGGCGCATTGCGCAGTTAAAGGGTTAAACATTGTAAATTTTTTTATATTTTTTCTTTTATGTATTGTGAGCTTTACAAGTGTGCAGATACAGTAGTGTGTGTGTTGATCATAAACCCTTGTTCAGTCAGCATGCTATGTGTACACACAACATGGTTATAATAGTCATCATTTGGGATATACAGTACCATAGTTGGACACAAGTTTACTCATCTTTATCATTATATTGTACCAACATTTAAACTGCTTCAAGAAATTATACTTGAAAATTTAACCATTTACATAAAGCATGGTTCTCAAAACTAGTCAACAATATTACCTGCAAAGAACAGAATACAATATCTACATTTTTCCCCTCTGTAGGAGAGTAATTTTTTATATAATTTTCTTTAGCGTGCCATATAAAAACAATATTCTAGGGATGACAAAGGCATAGACTTTAGAGCCAAGAATAACCATAATAATCGTTCCTATTTAAGTGGTCATTCAACCATTGAAGTGGGTGAGAATATATACCCTTGGGGAATTGTGATTCTTATACAGTTGAAGCGATCATTATACAAATTAGGTAAATACTAGTATATCAATCGAAACTTAATCGCAACACCACCCACCAAATTTATGATTACAAGGCATTACACAGGACTGTTTAAACTGCAAGTGCCAATGAAGTTCTAGAACAGATTTTATGTTCTGGACAATGCAATCACACACAGTTTTAATGTATGCAATGTAAGGTTACCTGTGAAAATGGTACAGAACACAGTTTCATCTTGTTTGACTCGCTGTAACTCTCTATCTTACTGTGTTGCACTTGCCATTCTTTCTCTGACCCAGGAAATTAGGAAAAGTTGGAAAGAAGTTTTAGTATTATATTGCATAAACCATGAAAAATCAACAATTATAAATTTTTTATCAAAACAAACGACTAGTAAAGCAAATACATGTACAAATGAAATTTAAAGTAACATCTTGAAAAATAATCATTCTTTTGAAATGTCAATAAATATGGTATTTGGGTAGTGTGTTGCATCAGTTGCTGAAGAGAAAGCAATCATATTTCACAACATTTATTCTTTACAATACAGGATTAGGAATAACTTGCCAGACCAGCAAAATATAATTCTGTAGAAATTTATCTCCTACCCATATATATTCATAAAGTAGGTCAAGTGTTTTATTATCTGGTTACAGTGGTAACCAGAGAATTTTGTTTGCTGATCCTTCAATTGAAAGCACTGTCAGAACTGATATAAAGGCCTGCAATAAGAATTCACAGTGTGAAACTTTCTGAAGTGCGAACCTTGGGTTCAAATTCCACACTTTTAAAAGATATTTATTTAATTTATAATATTTAAGTCTGTGTATATGGCATTTTCACAAGCACATAATAATGAGAGCATTTTAATAAAATTTGTCAACTAGTTCATGCTGCTGGATTTTGCGCGTCCGATTAAATGTTTCTAGGAAGGTTTGCAAGACACTTAAACCTTGGGCTCCTGCCCCTTCTGTGACTTCCTCAATCTTATGCATGTATACATTAATTAGGTAATCCATTAGTTTTAAAAATTGCTTCCCATATGTTTCTTGAAGGCTGAAACCCAGAGATTTTAACAGTTCAACAAAAATTACTGCACTCACACCAGAAGTAGGTGTTAAGGAAAGATGTTTTGCCAAGAGCTCCCACCCTATAACTGGAGCATTTATAGGAATATTTTTCCTTTTAATGATCATGGCCAAAACTAGTCCATACATTGAAGCAGAAGTGCCCATTCGTCCAATGTGTGCATCTGATTTTTCATTACCTTTCATCCCTATTGATTTGCAGAAATCTTCTTCACTTTGTCCAACTAGTGGCAATGGTTTCATGGGTAGCAAATATGGACATGATATAAATAAATGATACAAGAAAAGGTCCCACAGTTCTGGAAAACATGAAACCAAGTTTACCATCAGCCATGAATATGCTGCTATGCCAGACACTTGCTTATCTGTGCCACATTTTATTAAATTGCTTACTGCAAGATTCTTTGCATATGTTATTACAACTGTTTCATTCTCAATTGTTCCTTTGCTAGCCCTAAACTCTCTCCCAGAGAGATAAGATGTTAGCTTCTGCAATTTTTCCTTGTTAATTCGCTGGTCCGTTGCAGTCAGCTGATTAATAACCGACAATGCTTTTTGCACCTCCATCTTCATATTCGGATATTTTTCTGTCATTATGTCACCAGCAGTCAAGAAATTTCCCAATTTATTCTTCAAGTCTTCCAATCTGTTCGTGAATAAAACATAAATATTAGAAAGTATGAATTACAGTACAATCTTTAAGCCTTAAACTGCACAAATCATATATATATATATATGATATCAGTGACAAAACCGAAAGCGCGCACATCATATATATATGATTTCGTGTCTAGTGCTATAATTTAAACGCCCCGCCTGGGATAGGGGCAGCTATAGTACACCCACGACCGATAGTTGCCAGATGCCACCTAGAAAAAAATCCAGGCCAACATTCTTGTGTATTAGAGCGTCAGTATTGAGCAAGCCACCAAGGCTGGCGCACGCAGCACGAGCTCACAGCACCGCTGTTCAGCTTGTGACCACAGCATCGCCTACAAATGCCATAATATATATAATACTGCTATTATTTAGCAGTGATAGTATTACTGAAGCTCCCTGACTGTGATTCTGATAATAGCAGGATTGTGGTGATATTTAGCGCTGTGCTCCATGGAGGGAGGAGAAGGCTGTGGAGGGAGGGTTGTGGCGTCGTCTTCTGACTGTGTGGCCACCTTATATTGACTGCACTCACCATACCAGCTTAGTGGTTCGCTATGGTGAACACAAATGTAGATACTTATATATAACGTGTGTATAGTGTGAGATAACAGCGAGAGGAGTAGTTTGGGAGCCGCCATTTTGGTGAGGGAGGAGCGTCGTCTGCACGACTTGGCATGTTTTTACTGATGGCCACTATGGTCTTTGGGCACCATACCAGCTTATTTGTACAGGTATGGTAAATAAAACAGGTAGATACTTATATATAATGTGTGTATATAGCGTAATAACACCACAAATAATATTGTTGGAGGAGAAATATTAGTGCGTCTGGCCTTGAGGGCGGCCACCGATCAGCTGACTGTGTGAGTAGCTACGTCTTTGTGCCTTTACTCACTATACAAGCTTAGATGTACAGTTATGGTGAACAAAACATGTAAATGTGTATATAACGTCTGCGTATAGTGTATAAATGCAAAAACAGTATTGTGGGAGGAGATTGAGGGCGAGTGAGGTGGTGTTGAGGGAGGGAGTGGCAGTGAGTGGCTCGAAGGTGTGTGGTGGTCACTCCTTGTTGCTTTTTGACTCACAAGACCAACTTAGTAGTTCGTTATGGTGAACAAAACATGCAGATACTTATATATATAACCTGCGTATATAGTGTAACAACAGCAAAACTATTTGTTTATTGTTTTATGAACATAATAATTGAATCACTAATATGCACACCATAATTTTGAGTACAGCGATGGTTCACACATTTTGTTATATAAATACTGTATACCAACATTCACTGTATGGAATAATATTACTGCAAAAAACTAAGAAAAAATCAGAGACATTGAAATAATTAGGTAATAATATATTTGTGGCAACTGCCGTCTGAAGGCTAGGGTGGAGTAGACCTTGTCTGGCGAAAGCTCTGCCAACGCCCCTCTTTCGCCACACTTCCCTACCCTATTGCGGCTAAAATATGCCACCTACGATTTTTTTTTGTTATTTTTTCCGTGATCAGGGAACAAAAATGAACACTTCTATAAGACGAAAGAATTTTTTGGATTTTTTTGTTGTTGTTGCGCCTGTGGGTGTGAATTTCATTTGGGTCCCTAGTGGTTTGAGGGTTAAACCCTTATAATGCCCTCCCCATTGTCCACTCTTTCCTCATCTCTCTGTTGCTCTGGTATGATGAGTGTTCAAGTCCACACACATCCAAACTCACATTCCCAGCACCCCCAAACACTAGAAGATATAACCCATTAAAGTGAATTAAACTACAGTATTATACGTTTCACATACCACACCCTACAAGAGACAAAGCAATTCCATTCTTCCTCAAAAGGGACAGTCTGCTGTACCAGATGCCCTACTCATACCCAATATCAAAAATTTATATAAACCACTCAATTTAGAAACATTTTTTTTTCAAATTCAGAATGTGTTTAGCCTCGAAGTTTTGGCTTGGATTATCAACTTGTTTAGCCAATTTAAAGTAGGAAAATCGAATGCAGACTGTAATTATAATACTTTTATGGGTTATACAAATAATTTAAGACAATGGTGATGGTGTCTTGCCAACCTCCCTCATTTAGCTCAAGTTTTGCTGTACAGAAACGTTATAATGACAAATTATTTTCCTGCATAGATCACTGAAGATAATTGTGGGTAAAAGCAAATCTACTGTACTGTATTTCAATAATATTAGGTATACAAACCTCCTCCTGCCACTTATCATGGCAACTAGGTCATATCCTCCCTCCTGTCTCTGTTCTTCAGCAAGTCTTTCCTCTTCTCTTCTGGCAGCCTCCTGCTTTTCCATTTCTAACTGTGCAGCAGCTTTCAACTTAGTTTCTTCTGCTTCTTGATTTATTCTCTCGGCTTCCAACTTGGCTCTCTCTTCTTTTTTAGAATCTACAATAAAGTAAACGACAATTACAGTACAGTACATTGAACAACCGTTTTAGAACCTAGGCTACATAATCTACTATAATCCAAGTGGTTGGGTACTATTCCTTCCTCATATCCCAGCTCCTATTCTGTCCTTATATACCTTCCATGTGTTATAGTCATATTGGCTCGGTGCTTTCTACTGATAATTGTATATCAGGACTGACTAGACATCAATCATTAAATGTACACCTCTGATCACCCAATAGTGATTGGGTACCTGGTTGTTAAACTATTGGTGGGTGGTATTCCAGGGAAGCTAGTAGGCAAGGCTCACCATGAGCTATGGGGTGGGAAAAGCTCTCAGCCTGCTAACAGGAGTCACCAGTCATATTTGTAATAGAGAAAAAGAATGGCAAGAAATGTTTAGACTCTACCATCTTGGTCAAATGCTGCAGAGGACACAGATAATGTGGCAGTGTTTCTGCAGGACTACTATATAGTAAGGAAAGAGGGAAGGGAGGAGTAGTGACCTTGCTGATAACGAAAGACTGGAGCTTTGAAGACAGAAATGGAAATTCCGGGCTGTGAAGGATTCAGGACCGGAAGCCGGGGGGGGGGGGGAATCAGAACAAACCACAGGAGGGGAAGGACGAGGAGGGGGGGGGGTGGACTGAACCAAAGTCGAAGCAATGCCTTGAGGGCAGCCTTGGGGCATCCGGGGCGAGCAACCAACTTAGCGCGGAGCAACAACCTAACGTGCATGTAACACCTGCGCCGCCTGTACCCGTAAAAGATCATCATTGGACTGGGTAAATTGAGTCACTAGCAAGCAGCAGAACTCACAGGACTCAGGGTCGAAAGAGTCACTGACCCAACAGGTAGCGTGTCGGAGGCAAAAACAGTGAGGGTCACCCTGAGATAAGGGGACCGAACAACCCTCGAACTCGCACGAAGCGATGGGGTAACATCCATCGAACCCACGTGCCCCCAGGGGTTTCCCAGGGCTCAGAGTGCTTAACGAGACTCGAGCCCAGTTAACCCCAGGCACGGTACTGCTAACCAGCGCCCAAAACTACCAAGCAAACTCTCTAAAGCTGCACCCCAGGGATGTGTACACTCACGGGACCTAACAGGGGGCACCAACAGAGAAGGACCTTAAGAGGTCAAGCACAAGTGGGCAATAAGCCGGGCAGATTTTTGCCACAAGGCAAAAAGAAATAGAAAAAGAAAACCCCACAAGAGGACAGCGTACCCTAGAGGAACAGAGCCGGCTACTATAAGTGGTGAAAACAAGCTGTGCAGCACCCTGCGCCCCTTCCCAGTGCAAACTGCCTCTTACCCTAAGGTAAACAAGGGAGACAAAACACCCAAGTACCCAAAGGGCGGCCGAAAAACCAAGCAGTAAAACGGTCCAGCAGAAGCAGAACCCAAGGAACCCCAAGCTCCAAGGGCAGTACTTACAGGGCACCTAAGGAAGGGAACCCTAGGCGCATGTAGCCCGAGTACTGTAGAATAACTCCTGGCTCTCGCACCCCTAGAAGACAGCCACCACACTCAAAGCACAGTGCTGAAACAATCACTGGAGCCAGAGCACATGACCGCTGCCTCTAGCATCAGCCTAAGATGGTGGGTCTGGGGCTCCCCCTTCCCCCCCCCGGGGACGGGGGAGCTGTGCAGACAGTGGCACTGTGACATGTGATGTCATGATCGTTTGCTTGTTTCTCTTAGGGGAGTTCTATCCACTTATTCGGCTTGTGGTGGCAATTTTCACCAGAATAAGGGTTTGTTTTGGGATGCTTAACTTTTTGAGTGCTTGACCTGGTCGATGGTAGACATAGAATGCTTCCAACCATACGCGGGTTTCTATAGGCCTTTGCTCCCCTTGCCACTTCTGAGGGAGCCAGGTTCTGGCTCGTAGTCCCTAGTAGGCCCATAGAACTCAATACACATGACTGATGCCAAAGTCTGACATTAGCATATCGGCCTAATAAGCTCCGGGGAGCCAAACGGGCTTCCCCCAGAAAAAGGACGAAACTCTAAGACCCATGGCCCAAGCAGATTCCAAAGAGTAGACGAGCACTACCTGTCGGCACTCGAGGCGACAGTTGTGCATGCAACACCTGCGCTGCCTGTACCCGCATAAGATCATCAGTGGACTGAGTAAATTGAGTCACCAGCAAGTAGCAGTACTCACAGGACTCAGGGTCGAAAGTGTCAACTACCCTACAGACAATGTGACTGAGGCAAAAACCGTGAGGGTCGACCTGAGTCAAGGGGACCGAGCAACCCTTAAACTCGCATGAAGCGAGGGGAGCTTTCAGGACACATCTATCGGACCCACGCGCCCCCTAGGGGATTCCTAGGGTCCTGAGCGCTTACTATAAGAGGACTCTTGCCCAGGTAAGCCCAGGCAGGGTACTGCTAACCGGTGCCCAAAACTGAACCCCAGGGACGTGTACACTCACGGGGACCTAGCAGGGGGCACCAGCAAATTAACAGTGCACAGGTAGGTCCAATGAGGGCAAAGCAAGGCAGACCCTTCCCCCCACAAGGCACTAAACAAAAAGAAAAACAAAATCCCGCAAGAGGACAACACACCCCAAGGAAAAGAGCTGGCCGCCGTGAATGGTGACAAAAAGCTGCACAACACCCTGCACCCCACCAGTGCAAACTGCCTCTTACCCCTAAAGTAAACAAGGAAGACAAAACCCCCCCCAAGCACCCAAAGGGCAGCCGAAAAACCAAGCAGTCAGAAGGCCTAGTAGAGGCTGGTCCCGAGGAACTTGTGGAAGGTGGCCCAAGATCTAAGGGCACTACTTACAGGGCACCTAGGGACGATAACCCTAGGTGCATGCAGGCCGAGTACCATGGAATAACTCCTTGCACTCGCACTCCTCGAAAACAGCCACCACATGCTAAGTACAGGGTTGAAAAATGCTGGAACCAAGCACACGACCACTGCCTCTAGCATCAGCCTGAGAACTGAGGGTGGATAGCCAGCGTGAGGGGTCTGGGGCTCCCCCTTCCCGGGGAGGGGGGAGGGGAGGGGAGGAACCTGAGCAGACAGCGGCGCGGCGACGTCACGATCGTTTGCTCGTTTCTTTTAGGGGAGTTCTATCCACTTGTTCGGCTTTTGGTAGCAATATTTTCACCAGAATAGGGGTCTGTTTTGGGATGCTTACCTTTCTGGGTGCCTGACCCAGTCGATGGCAGACATAGAAAGTATTGAATTAAGGTATTGAAAGGATACCTGATCAACCAGGCTGTGACTCATACATCAGGCTGCGAGCAGCCGTGTCCAACAGCCTGGTTGATCAGTCCAGCAACCAGGAGGCCTGGTCGACGACCGGGCCGCGGGGACGCTAATCCCCGGAAGCACCTCAAGGTAACCTCAAGATAAGGTAGAATGCTTCCAACCACACGGGGGGTTTCTATAGGCCATTGCTCCCCTTGCCTCTTCTGAGGGGGCCAAGTTCTGGCTCGTGGTCCCTGGTAGGCCCATAAGAAGTCCATACACATGACTGATGCCAAAGTCTGACATTAGCATATCAGCCTAATAAGCTCCAGGGAACCAAAGGGGCTCCCCTGCCAAACACACCAAAACTACGACGTTGGTACAACATTCGAACAAGTTTCAACACCTAACCAGTTATAACAACCAATATAGCAAGTTGTAACAATATTCTAATACGTCACAAACACGTTAAGCCAAGATGTAACAACTTTATTACAAGTTGTAACAAGCAGAAAATACAGTTTCAGTTTGTGTTTCCATGGACCCCCCAGAAAATAGTATTCTCTCTACCAGGATACATAATAAAACATTTTGTTTTACACTTACAATTGTTATCACAAACACTGTATACAATACTTATATACTTACTTAGAGTTTGAGTAATTGTATTTATACAACCTAGTCCCACTTGAAGAGAACTCTGTGCTTCATTAAGTTGCTTCTGGGTGGCAGAACTTTGGTTGGCATTATTTAATAAGCACTCCACATGTGACACAGTCTGGTTTAGGATAGACTCTGTGTTAGAGTCTAATACTTCACTTCCCTCAAACTCTCTGGAAAATATAAGATGCATATTTTAACGACTATCTTCACTGTATTGTATGTAGCCACCCTGTGGAAGCCACAGTGGTCTCGCTCACCAAGTGATACCTGCTCATGAACCAGGGTGCACACACACACAAACCCGCTCATGAACCGTGGCACATTCACACACAGTAAAATTGTACAAAAAAGGCAAACCAACAAAATTGTTCGAGAGAGGGGTAGTGAAGAATAAGGAGAAAGGGGAACATGTTTCTGAAAATAGTGTACACAATGTAGATGGAGTGAGATCAAAGATAATGGAATTAATGATGTAATACAGCTGCAGACACCAGACATTCTTGCACTCAGAGAAAACTTGATGTTATTTTAAATGTCACATTCCCAAGGGGCTACTCAATTTGGAGACGGGACAGAAAAATTAGGAAAGACGGTGGCATTGCTGTGCTGGTGAAAGAACACCTAAAGGTGAATGAAATAATGATTGCCAATCCACGAGAAATTGACATAATAGCACTAGAGATCTGCCATGAGGATGATAAACTAATGATCATAAATGCATATAGTCCACCGCAGAGCAACACATGAACAAAGGAGGAACTAGATAGTAAACGAGAGGGTCTTATAACAATAATGAGAGAGATTATAGCGAGAACGGATAAAGATAGATCACGACTGTTGATAGTCAGGGACTTCAACTTGAAATCCATAGACTGGGAAGTATATGAAGCTCGAACAGGATTTTTGGACCTGTAGATCTCATCCTGGAAACATTCTTGTATTAACATGTTAAACAAGCTACGAGGATGAGGGAATCTTCGAGGTTATCTTGAGACGATTTCGGGACTTTAGTGTCCCCGCGGCCCGGTCCTCGACCAGGCCTCCACCCCCAGGAAGCAGCCCGTGACAGCTGACTAACACCCAGGTAAATATTTTACTGCTAGGTAACAGGGGCATAGAGTGAAAGAAACTCTGACCATTGTTTCTTACCGGCACCCGGGATCGAACCCGGGACCACAGGATCACAAGTCCAGTGTGCTGTCCGCTCAGCCGACCGGCTCCGGCCGGAAGGGAACGTTCCCTCCATGCTAGATTTTATATTTACCAAGATGAAGGAAGATATTTGACATTCAGTACCTTCCTCCCTTGGGTAAAAGTGATCATGTCTTTTTGGGAATAAAACATGCAATGCATTATAATCTGGAAGAAAATACAGAGGTTGAAGCAGTTAAAAAACCTGACTTCAGGAGAAGACATTATGGCGACCTTAGAAATTTCTTTAGCGAGTATAATTGGACAGACTTGTTGCTAGGCAAGGAAGTAAATGTGATGTCAAGTTTTGTGAAACATGATAAAGGCACAAAAAAATTTATACCAAAACAGAGATGCAGAACTAGGAAACGGGATTAGTTCAACAGAAATTGCTAGAGGGCCAGAGACCAAAAGACACAAAAATGGAGTCAATATAGGAAGAGACCAAACCCCCAAACATCTTAGCGATACAAAGATGCGACAAACAACTACACACCAATGAGGAGAGGCAGAAAGAAATTTTGAAAAAGGGATTGCAGACAAATGTAAAACAGAACCAGATCTATTCTATAAATTCAAACAAATTGCAGGTAAAGGATAATATTCATGAGGTTGAAAATGGGAAATAGATTCACGGAAAATGAAAAGGAAATGTGTGAAACATTAAACGACAAGTTCCAAAGTGTGTTTATACAAAATGAAATCTTCAGGGAACCAGACACCAGGATAGACACCAGATTAGCTGTACAGTTGTTCACATATTTTATTATATAAATATATCACACTACATACTATTGAATAATATTACTACAAAACAGAGAAAAAAAATAAATAAAAAACATTGAAATAATGTAATATCTTTGTGGCAACTCCTGCCTGACAGCACGGGTGAAGCAGACCGCCTCCAACACTCTCTGTCAGCGCTTCTTTTTTTGCCAGACTTCCCCGCCACATAAAGGAACACTTTTATATGATAATTTTTTTTATTTCTTGCACCTGGGCGTATTGCAGGCTATAATTGCAAGAGCAGCCCAGGGGTTAAGAGTAGATAAATAAGGCAATTTATTTATTTTTTGAGAAGAATGAAAATTATGTGAAAAAAACCAGCGTTGAATGTAATGAAACACCATTTCCTAGGCAAGCCCTGGAGGCTCCCTGGAGCTTATCGGGCTAATGTATGTTATATTAGACCGGGACATTAGCTAAAGAGTTCAAACCTACCAGGGACCAGCACCAGAACCTGGCCTCTTCAGAGAGGTTTCAGGGAACAATGGCCCTGGAAAACCCTCTTATGGGGGTTTTCCTGGCACCCGGCCCCAACAGAAGCCGGACAGGAGACAACAGTCCTCTGATGAGGGCATGGAATCCAGGGCGCAGACTGAAGAAGTCCAGAAGAACTGCAGATTCGCCAGGCCCGTGTCTGCATAGAGCAGACAGGAACCCCAGAAGGATGGGGCGGATCGACCACGTCCAACGCACCCACTAAGATGACATGACGAAGCTCAGGGGAAGAAGCCCACCCCGCCAGCCCTGAACCCGCCAAAGAGGGAGAAGCCGTCCGCCGCCGCCACCAGAGGCCGGGAGACAACCAAAAGCGCCCACTAACTGCGGGACCATGCGAGAGTCAACAGAGCAAGCTGCTTCCCTAGCGCCCCGTCAACAGCGAAGGGAACAGAGCCCCTTCCGAAAGAAAAAGTATACATACACATTATGTATATACACATACATACATATATACATATACACAAATACACGCACACACAAGGTGTATTACACACCTTGTGTAATTATTACAGAACATTATATACCACATATGTCAGACCAATCCTGGAGTATGCGGCTCCAGCATGGAGTCCATATCTAGTCAAGCATAAGACTAAACTGGAAAAGGTTCAAAGGTTTGCCACTAGACTAGTACCCGAGTTGAGAGGTATGAGCTACAAGGAGAGACTACGGGAATTAAACCTCATTTCGTTGGAAGACAGAAGAGTTAGGGGGGGGACACGATCACCACATTCAAGATTCTCAAGGGAATCGACAGGGGTTGATAAAGACAGGCTATTTAACACAAGGGGCACATGCACTAGGGGACACAGGTGGAAACTGAGTGCCCAAATGAGCCACAGAGATATTAGAAAAACCTTTTTTAGTGTCAGACTGGTTGACAAATGGAATGCATTAGGAAGTGATGTGGTGGAGGCTGACTCTATACACAGTTTCAAGTGTAGATATGATAGAGCCCAATAGGCTCAGGAACCTGTACACCTGTTGATTGACAGTCGAGAGGTGGGACCAAAGAGCCAGAGCTCAACCCCCGCAAGCACAACTAGGCGAGTGTACACGTGCGTATGCACACACACGTGCACACGCACACAAACAGTGTACACATGTACAAACACATGTGTACACACACATACACGTAAAAAAAAAAATTACAAGCCACTGACCAGTGGGCAGAGAGCACCACGCCGGCCAGGCGAAGGCGGCACAAAACTGCATCAAAAGGTCCACTTCGACAACAAAACCCCAAAGTCCCAGCACAATCACAACACGTGCCAAGACCCAAAAAGATCAGTCTGCAATCCAGGAAGACCCCGGAACCCCAGAAGGCAGAACCGGGTCACACACGAGGAAACAAAGCCCCCTGAACCCACAAAAGGGGCCCAAGAGGAAGAAACCTCCGGAACGAAACCAAAGAACCCAAAGGAACCCGGAATCAAACCAGGGTGAGCCCAAACCACCACATTTGCTGGCGGAGATACACCACAGAAAAGCAAAGCACAGCCCCCAAACAGATCCCCTAGGGAAACTGTCAAAACAGATCGAAAACCGAGGGACAAGGTGTGGGAACAAGCATAACAGACAGGGAAACCGAGCCCAAACCCAAAAGCAAACAAAACGGAAAACCCAGTGTAAAATCAACACTCAAACGTTCCCAGAGGAACAGAAAACGGGCAGAAAACACCAGAAAAGCAAAGAAATGACAACAGGAGAATAAAACCCCTGAAAAACTCACCCAAGACGCTCACTCGCACACCTCAGGTGCATGTAAACAAAGCGCAACGCCGCCCTGGTGGCCATGCCGGGAAACCGGCAGAAGAAAATTGCCACCAGAACAGAGGGCTGTGACCGACGCAAAAGATACGAAAACATGTCAGCAAAAGTGGGAAGCAAGCAGAGTGGATGGGCGAAAAGCTCCGCCCAGAAGCAGAAAACCCAGGCAGGGGCAAACCGCCCCAGAACTGCTAGCAGGCATCCCCCACAGCCCTGGGAACCCGCAACAGAGGCCCCGGGGCAGAGCTGTCCTCAAAGCCCTCTGCCCTTAAAGAAAAGGAAGAGTCCATGGGAAAAGCAGCACGAAAGGGCCGCTGGTAAGACCCAAATGCCTTGGCAGGAGGAACAGGCTCGAAAACCTCCGTCCCCAACCCGAACAGGGCAGCCCCCGAAACTGCCCGAGTCTCGGCCCCAACTAAACCCCGCACCGACCCCGAAACCCGCAGACGGTCCAGAGCTGGGAACAGGGAGGGAAAGGGGGCGAACAGCACCTAGCCAAAATGGAGCGGCCTCGGGGCATCCGAGTGGGAAACCAACCTAGCGTGTTGCAAGCTAGGTTAGGTTGCTGCAACACGGATGCCGCCTGTACTCTGAACAGTAATAACATCAGGAGAGTACTGGAGAACAAGCAGAGAATCTCACAAGACTCCGGGTCAAGGTGTCAGTGACCCAACAGGCAACATGACAAGAGGTAAAAGTGGCGACTGTCATCCGGAGACAAGGGCACAGCAACCAACGATCCCGTACAAGATGGGTTGGAACCTGGAAGACACATTCAATGGTTCACCGAGCCCCGACAGGGGTTTCCAGGGCTCGTAGGCTGACTGCTACGGGAAGCTCGGGCAAGGTGTTGCTAACCGGTTAAGAAACCCAAACATAACAAGGGGGTAGAGGACAACACTGAAAACCCTTACGACGTGTACGATCACGGGGGCCTAGCAGAGGGCCACCAAACACTACCAGTGGAACTATAGCCACACTAGGCAGACCCCCACCAAACAAATCAAAATAAAAAAAGAAAAACCCTGCAAAAGTACACCGTCTCCAGAAGCAACAGGAACCGGTCGCCGCTTAGGTGGCAGGTCGCACAACACCTTGACGCCCTAACCAGCACAATACCAGCCCCTACCCAGGGCCAAATAAGGGCCCCAAGCCCCAGCTGGCCCCAAGCGCGAGGCAAATGCCGAGCAGCAAGAACCTCTACGGGATTGGTTCCCGAACGCCCCAGGGAAGATAACCCTGTCACACAGGGGCAGTACTCACAGGGCGCTTAGGGAAGGAAGCCCCTAAGCGCATGCACCCCCAGCACTGATGAGGTACTCCTGGCCACCGCACAATACAACACACGGCAGTGAACGCCACACAAGGCAAACACCGCCTAGGAAACCGAGGCCAGAGAAGCGTCTATCCCGGTTGACATTAGCTTACGAACTGATGCTAGGCAGCTGGCGTGGTAAGGTCCAGGGCTCCCACCTTCCCCTCTTGGGGCAGGGAGGGCTGCGCGGATGATCGGCACGGCAGTAAAATGCGATGTTTGCTTGTTGACTTGTTTCCTTGGGATTGTAGGGAGTTTCTACCTCTCGGTTTGGTTTTTTGTTCTAGCTTTTTACCATGTGGGGTTTGTTTTGTTATGCCTACCTTTCTGGGTGCCTAACCCCGGTCGATTGCAGATAAGGAAATCCCCCAACCACAAGGGGGTTTTCCAGGGCCATTGCTCCCTGAAACCTCTCTTGAAGGGGCCAGGTTCTGGTGCTGGTCCCTGGTAGGTCTGAACTCCTTAGCTTATGTCCTGGTCTAATATAACGTACATTAGCCCGATAAGCTCCAGGGAGCCGTAGGGGCTCCTCACTGAGAAAGTTTTGAAGAATTCTGATAAAGAAAATGTAGGGGTGGTTCTAGATAGAAAACTGTCACCCGAGGACCACTTACAGAACACTGTATGAGGCGGATACTATGCTTTCCATCTTTAGAATCACTTAAATACATGGATGGGCAAAATATTAAAGAAATAATTCACGATTTTTGTGACACCAAAGTTGGAATATGCAGTGGGTGAATGGCGCCTGAATCTCAAGAATCACATCAATGTGATTCTTGAGATTCGTTGTCGTTGAGGTTAAATTAACATTTAACAATTGTTAAATAGGAAGGGTGCAAAGACATGCAAGTCTTCTGGAACTGAGAAACATGAGCTATAAGGAGAGATTAGAGGTGTTATATATACCAAAGCTAGAAGATAGAATAAAAAGAGGCGATATGATTGCTATTTGCAAAAATAGTAATAGGAATTGACAAAACTGACAAAGACAAATTTTTGAAAACTTCAACAGCAAGACAGGAGGATATTAGGTTCAAACTAAGGAAATAAAGCAGCTGACAAAAACATTAGAAAGTTCACTTTTGCAAATAGAGTAGTAGATGGTTGGAATAAGTGAAGTGTGAAGGTGGAGGAGACCAAAATTATCCATCAATTGTTTAAAAGCGGCATATGACAGTAATGGGAAGGCCAGGCACCACAAGCATAACTCACCTAACTACACTTAGGTAATTACACACACAGTCACACTCTCCATTGTAAAAACAAGAGAAATACATTTACAACAAAGTGATGCACTAGTTTTATAAACAGCATTCTCACATGAAACTTTTCAATATACTTATACTTACTCAAGCAATTGTTGCATCTGAGCCAGCTTAACAACAAAAGTTTCCTTGGCATTAAGCAAATCATTCACAAGAGCTCGCCTGATATCTGCTTGTTCCGCTTCCTTACGTCGAGCATCTTCCATAACCTCCAACAACCAAGATGACCTTTCTGAAATATAGTGACTGTAGTCACTCCTGTAACAAAATAAATGCAAATTAGGTATTTTGTGCAGGAGAGGCAAGAGAGAGCAGGGACTATGTGATCATCCTCACAAAGGAACAACCACATGAGGGGTTGGAGGGGTAGTGCAGAAAAACACAAGACAACAAGGTCAAAATAAATAACTCTGACATGCTTAAAAGTAATTAGAACTAGAGACTACTGTGAGGAGTATATCTTCGCCAGTTTCAGAGTCAAGGGGGCTGAGTCTGTCCTGACTGTGGGAGCAGTCTATAGAACTATTAACACTGATGTGTCCGAATTCAACTCTAACCTTAGAAATCTAATACTAGATAACAGACTGAACAAAAACCATCTAATTATCGCAGGGGACTTTAATATTGACCTCAGCGAGCCTGAAAACCCTACTGCTGTTAGCTTCCTCAACTGTATGAATTCCTGCTTCCTCATACCCTTAATCACTAGACCTACTAGAATCACTGATAGTACTGCTACGATTCTAGATCACATCTGGACCAACATAACCTCTCCGTTTACTTCAGGTATAATCATCGATAGCACTACAGACCATTACCCCACATTTCTCCTAACATTAACAAACCACCTCGAGAGACAAGGGAGATAAGCTTTAGGCTGCACAATGAAACTGCTATAGGCAATTTTATAGCTGCTGCTGCTAATGTCAACTGGGAGTCTGAATTAGGTAACATAGGGGACATCAACCTAGCGGTGCAATCTTTTCTTCAAAAACTCTCAGCCTTTATAACATCCACCGTCCTATGCTAACGAAACAAGTCAACTAAAAGGCTAAACAATCCTTGGCTTACAAAGGGGATACTTAAATCCATTAATAAAAAACATGACCTTGAGAAGAAGTATAGGTTAGGAATCGTCTCCAAAGAATTACTCATCATTGCTATCTAAAATAATTAGAAGAGCCAAAACTAAATACTACGAAGATAAATTTAGCCAAACAAAGGGCAACATTAAGAAAACATGGAGCACAATTTCACAAATATTGGGATCAAAAGATTTTAAATAACAAACCAATACTCCTGTCTAATAACGATGGTCAGCTTACAGCCTCCGACAGCTGCTTACTACACTTTGTGTGTTAGATAAGCAAGTCCTTCCTCAGGCGACTTATATGAATATTACGACAGGAATAAAGTTAAAGGAGTTAAGGAATTTTCTTTTTAGAAATTATCCAAAATTCAAATACCATTTTTCAAATTCCATAACCCAAACTCTCACATCTGAAACCAACTGTCCTTGCATTATGTGTCATGTTGGCACATTTACTGTGTATGCCTGCTGAACAGAGTTGGCACTGAAAGCTCTGCTGGTAATCTACTTTCATGTGGCATTCTGTGCACATCTTTACTGGACATTTTTACTGAATACAGTACTTCTGCTCAATGATGGTGATGAAGGCCATGGACCAGTAGGTGGTGTCCAGTGGGCGGGGAGGGCAAGACCAGCCGGTAAGGTGGTTGTATGGACGGGCAGTATGTGTCACCTCATGTCGCACTCTTAATTCGTTTTGTTCATGGTTAGGCATAAGGACTCCTATGACTGATAGGGAATAAGGCATAAGGACTCCTGTGACTGATGATCCCAAACTAATATAGCACATATCAGTTTGGGTAGTTTCAAGGAGCCAAAGGGGCTCCCCACAGAAAACCTGCACTATTAAATGGGATACCAAAGTGACCCTCCACACACAAAGCACATCACACAATCCCTGGAGAATAAGGGACTGGACAGGTCAGTAGAGGATTGGGAAGAAGAGAGGTGGAATGAAGGAGAGGGGATGGAAAATTGGACACCCCCTCCAGAATGCAGATCGCACCCTCTGGGACGGGAGCTTGGCCAAAATAGAACTACTATGATGAGCATCGCAGGCCCCAGGAGTAGAATGGAAAACTTCCCAACATGTGTCATGGTGGAGGTAAAAAGAATATGACCAACAGCATGTAATAAGACTGAAGAGCATCCCACACACTCACCCAATTAGTGTGGGCTTGGCGGGGAGGTCATTTCAAAGCACATCAAAGACTGCGGGAGTTTCCAGGACCTTGCAAGAAAGACGAAGCAGGCGATTCCAGGCATAAGGTCGGTTCAATAAGTGAAACGGACATCAAACGCAGCTGAATAGACAAACATGGATGCGAATAGTGTCAGTGGCACGCCATACAAAAAAGCCTGCACACTCCTGTGCCCCCCCAGGAAAGAAACCAGACTGCCCCTAACCCTGAGCCTCTCAGAGGGGTCTCAAACACTTGCGCTATCCACGGCAAGGCACTCTCCACTGAAGGCTTGCCTCTCAGGGACAGATACCTGAACCCCCCTGCCCTGGCTGGGCAGGATCAACACCAGCAAGTATCTACAATTATCTAGGTAAGGCAACTTACAGACCCAAGCACCTTTAAATAATTGCATCAAAAATTGGATGGAAAGGGGAGATACTATCTGCTAACACTCGACAACTAAATGTGGACCATCTGGAGTCAAACTTTTGAGAAACCAGAATCGAAGCTACAATTTGAATCTTATGCCAGAGTGGCAGGGAGTATTATCCATCCCTCATCAGGCAGTGGACTACTGGCAAGTCAGGTGATTGAAGCCAGATAGCTAAACTGCACAGGTGAGATGTGCCTACCTACCTACTACCTACCTGTCGAAGATTCTGGGGATCAATATTCCTGGGGCCCAGTCTCTGACCAGGCCTCCTGGTTGATGGTCTGATCAGACCAGCATTGGTTTAAGTGACATCCAAAATATGGCCATGCTGCAATGCCAGAGACAGATGACAATAACTGCATGGTGAAGGATAGACATAGAACTCTAACCCCTTTCAGATTCGTATCCATACTACACACACCTAATAAACATATCCAAGGAACTTATCTACAATAGAAGACAAAATTACAATTCTATACTTACTCGCACTTTTTGACAGCCTTTATTGCCTCTTCTTTTTGTTGCCTAAGGCGGTACTCCTCACGTTCTAGTTTCTCGTCCCTCTGATGGTAGTATTGATGTAATTTTGTTTCAAATACTCTCTGGATTTCTTCTAACTTGTTCAAGTATGTTCTGTATCGAGCACTAACTTTTTCCTAGAGAAAAGAATGGATACAATTACTGTACTGAACAAGTGAAATACTGCACTGTATTGTTCACTGGATTATATGTAGACGTGTTCTATGAGCATATTCTCGACCCTAGAAATATCAAGCCAAGCAAAATTATACTTAAAAAGTTCTACAGTGGCTTGAATTATACTCACCAATACCTCCCTTCCCTTGATTCCTTGACACACATGCCATAGAGATTTTTTTTTGTCACAGTGTGGGAAAAGACTGATGAAAGACTAGCAGATAATACGAATCTTGGGTAAACCATATAGGCTCTTGGCACAGGGAGAATCCGAAAGACTTTAGGTGATTAACCTCTGTGCTGTGAAAGCATTTCAAGAGGTATTTCCTCGGTGTGCAAGACAAAAAAAAAATATGAAGAGCTATTTCACTTTCTTATAGGTTTAAAATGTGTTGGCTGATCACAGCAAAATTACAATAAAATTTGACACTCATTTTGACTGTAGTGAAGCGATGAATTCTTGATGGTGTTGTTTCCATGCACTTTTAGTAAATGGTTTTCTCAGAGAGCCTCTATGCAAATGGGTCACATCAGATGCAGGAGTTTTGTTTGACCTACTGGAACTAGAGCCAAAATCTGGACCTCTCAGAGGCAGTGAGAACAGGTGACAATTCACCACCACACTGGAAAAGCATCCATAAAGTCACAGAAGCTTTACAGACAACTGGAGGGTTAACAATGACCAAAACTTCAAAATTGCCAAACACAAACAATTCACACAGAACAAGATTAACGTACAAAATTAGCACAAAACTCACAGTAGTGGCGGTGACACAACCAAGGCAGCCCAGCTCCTGCATGCAGTCATCCTCATTGCCAGTTCTTTCGCCGATACACTGATAGACAGCTCCAAGTCTTTCAGACATGGCAAGCCCAGAAGCTTCAAAACAAAGTGCTGGCTGTCCCTGGACTTATTCCTGCAGGAGTCATTTGGTCTGTATTCTGTTCTATATTTAAATTTTTGCATCAATTGCTCGATTTCTATCTGGGTTGTTGTGCAAGCTTGGCTGTATTGTATTTCAGGCTGCATATGTTCTGGGTTTTTTCCCAGGGTGCCCACTAGCACAGTCCCTGCACTCAGAGATGATGTCTTTGGTGTGTTTGGGAGTTTGCCCCTAAAGAGGCAAACCCACTGGGGTGGAGAGCTTTGCTTAAGGCTATTCACAAATCCGATTCCTTTGTTTGGGCCCTTGGTTGGAGGTGCTCTGTTAATTGTGTTGGGGTGTGCTGGGACTCCTGTTTCTATGACATGACAATTGCCAGGCATAGCTGGGTTGTTTTGGCTGCACGTGCCCGGGAAGAGTTCGGCTGTGTGCTCGACATGGTGGCTGCTGGGTAACCGAGGCCTCCCACGAGATGGTAGCACGAGCTGGATTTTTTTTCAAAATGGTGGCTGTTTACTATAGCCCCTGGGCAGCGTATGGGGACCCCCTATACTCTGTGGGCCTTTCAAATCTTGCACGGCACTCCAAAGCATCATATGATGCCGAGCGCAAGTTACTGCAAGTCACTCGACGCATCATATGATGTCTTGCGCAACTAAAGGGTTAATATACTGTAATTTTTATGCAAACTTTCACAATTATAAATGAACAACCTTTTATGAATGAAGCCTTTGATTGACTGACTAGATATGGATTGAGTTGGCATTGCTAATTTGTAGTGTCCGAACCCTCACTGTCGTGATTGAGTGCCCACTGGGTCCCGTCCCCAAATCCCAACTGGGTTCTGCTCTGAACCATTAACTTTCAACTTCTAACAGAAACTAGTCCTGCACGGGCGCACAGGGAATGATGACGTCACACGCCACGTTACGGACCCCATAGCAGCCAAAATAAGTACAATTTCAAAATTCCGTTGCTATACCCATATACAGGGAGGGGTTTTTGACACTTTCAGAACTAAAAATAATTTTTTCCTGAGAATTTATTTCTTGCGCACTGGGGGGGGGGGGTGTCATTTATAGGCCACACAGTTAAAGGGTTAGGCACGTTTCCTTACACCGAATGCCACTCTTCACATAGCAATCAATAAATACATGGGAGTTGTTCAACTGTTGTGGGATACTCCGATCCTGAGAGCATGGTTAGGGGAACATCAATGAGCCATATTCAGACATTCTGTCCTCAACAATAAGGAACAAATGTATGATATGAAGGCTGTGCACTTTAGGTTTCTACTTGCTACCACCACCACCTGCATATTATACCTTCCCCTACTTCACAGGCATCTTAATTATTTATTATATAAAACATACTGTACAATCAAAAGATTCCAAGTAATATGAAATGCTGTATTGTATATATGAAGATAACTCGCCTGAAGTCTTTGTTTTATTTCGTCCTCAAGAGACATTTCTTCAAGTTGCATCATTAGCTGATATTGCTCTCGAGCCCTCTTCGCAACCTCCAGAGAACCCCATTGACATTCATTCTGCAACTCTTCACCGGGATCTATTCTGAAAGATAAAAATGGTCCCATATTCATATATGGTAACATCATTATTTTTTTTATACCCTAAGTTTCAAAATTTTTTTTAGGTTGCACAAAAAACTATCATGCTCAAGTCATCAGAAGATGACAAATAATCTTTGATGTACAAATAGAAGGCATATGGAGCGAGCGAATTTGTTGGCAAGAGTACTTCACTGTTGATAATTTGAGTACAGAGTTGTTATTTAACCACTACACTTTGCCAAACAACAAATGTTTGCCCATTACTGCACCAACCAACAAAAGTATTTGTTATTTTTTCGTACACAGTCGAAATGCGAACGCGGTAGGTTGGGTATGAAATGGACTCCTGGGACCTTCAGTGAGAGGCACCCAGCCAAAAAAACTTCCCAAATCTCCCTAGGGCTGCTGGCAGGATCAGTTTTGAATGAGCAACCAAGGGTGGTGCATGCGCCTCTGGCTCCCAAACATCTGTCGGACGTGGTGTTGAAAGATCTCTCTCTGTCCATGATATTCAGACCTTATTGTTTGAAGAACACAAGGGTCATGATATTGATGAAGCTAGGCACAATAAGGACCCAACACAATGGTTAGATGCAAGTCGTACAACACCGATGTGGACGATATAGAGCGCGTATCGAGCTGTAGCCAAGCTCGATCTTTGCTCACCTGTGTTATCTCAAATATTTTTTTATAGATGATACATAGATGGATCGTTTTCTGGGTTCAGTGATGATGCACCCAATACAAGTAGCATAGATGAACATTTTTAGCAACTTCCATGGTGGTGGTTTCCATCGATCTTGTCAAGAATGGCTGAATCTCTTCCAGAATTGCTGAATCTCTTCCAGAATACCTTACAAAGTGATCTTTTCAAGACTACCTTACACTTCACAAGCTTGGCTACATACCACCTACAGGTACTAAAGCCAAGGGTGTACGTAAGTATGTTATTTGCAAGCACACAGAACAAAGAAACAGGAAGCAAAAATTTGTTTGTACCCAGTGTGTCGAGAGCGAAGTCGCGCTGTGTACCATGGACTGTTTTGTTGATTATCACTCACTTCCGAAGTACTGAGTATGTGATACAGTGTGTTACTGTGTAAATGGTAATTTTTAATAGTAATTTTTAATAGTAATTGTTACTGTGAAACTGTGCATATAGTAATTTTAGTGAATTTTGAACAAGTAATACTGCGACAATTAACATTTATTGTGGACACATTACCGACATGTATCACAGTTCCATGGAACATTATGAATGTTCTACTGTATACATATTGTAAAGAACACAAATATGCATCATTGATGACAAAAAAATCAAGTAAGACTGCATTGGAAATTCATAGAACAAATAATTGAAAATATATTTGTGGCAACTCATGGTGCTTGAATGGCCTGCACGACCGCCTCTGAGAGCTTCATGCACAGGCGCATAACAAATGATGATGTCACACACCCCCTTCTCCACGTCCCCACAGCCAAAGCAAGCAGAATTTATTAGTTTTTTTACATGTATGTGTTCAGGAAAGGGAATTTATCATTTTACAAAGATCAACAAATTTTGGAAACACTTAATTTTTGGCGCAGAGGGGGAATGTGCCACTAAACACGGCACAGCACAGTGGTTAAGCTCTTTATAATGACAGGTACGACAAAAAGCACATAATATGGTAAACAGCAAGTAGCATAATATGGCAAGAGCCTAGTAATCAGATTTCTAGTAATCCTAATCATTGGACAATCCAAATGAATTAATGCTCATAGGTCTGTAGCAAAGGGCAGAGGCAAGCAAGTAAACCATGGGAATGCCTGTGTAAATGGTGGGAGTTGTGGTACAAAAATTTGTAGTTTTAACTGGTTTCTGGTAGAATTTGTTAATTTGCTTCTTTTCAGACATTCCTCTTAAGAAATTTAGCTAACTTCAATGTTTATCTAACTTGAATGAGGGTGTGTCCCATATGATTGAAATTACTGAGTGTAGACAATATATATTTGTTATAATGATGAAAGTTGTTGATGTATGGCATGATGGCATTATGACAGGGCAAGCCTTTTAGCGAGACTGTAGAGTACAAAGTGAAACATTTTGTATACCTGTAATTCCCAGAAGAATTAATAGTTATACAAGTGATGTTTTTTCCTATCGGTCATTCTTCTCTGGGGGCACCACTTACACTGCAGCTAGCAAATATGGAAGCTGATCAGAATTACATTTCACCTTTGTGAATGTACATTAATGACACTATGTAAAAGACACATCAAAAAGAATTGGCATCTAACCCGAAGTTGGTGCAAAACACAGTTGATCGGAGTAAGTCCCTGATCATTTTGGCTGCAAAGAAAAGGCGATAACATCTAGGTCAGAAAGAGCTGTAGAAGAAGCTAAAGTAGTAGATAAAATTGTTGGCCTCGTGGAAGGTCTTACAAACAGAGAGAATGTGTGCGACTACAGGAGAATAGGCAGGTACGTAAAAGGGAAAGATCGACCTTTGAGGATCACCCTAAACGGTGCCAAACAGATGGAAGAAGTACTAAGGAATGCTAGAAAATTGCAAAGCGATGAGGATGGGAAAGGGTGGTCGTTAAGACGAGATCTTTCAAAAGAAGATAGAGAGAAGCTGAAACTGAACCTCGCCGAGGCAAAACATTTAAATGAGAGCAGGAATGAAGAAGAAATAAATTCATTAGGAAAGGCGGTGGCGTTGCTGTGCTGGTAAAAGAACACCTAAAGGTGTACGAAATAATGACTGCCAATCCACAACAAGTTGACATAATAGCACTAGAGATCTGCCATGAGGATGATAAACTAATGATAATAAATGCATATAGTCCACCGCCAAGCAGCACATGGTCAAAGGAGGAGCTAGATAGTAAACGTGAAGGTCTTATAACAATAATGAGAGAGATTATAGCGAGAGCGGATAACGATAGATCACGACTGTTGATAGTCGGTGACTTCAACTTGAAATCCATAGACTGGGAAGCATATGAAGCTAAAACAGAAGATTTTTGGACCTGTAAATTTGTAGACCTCATCCTGGAAACATTCTTGTATCAACATGTTAAACAAGCTACGAGGATGAGGGAAGGGGACGTTCCCTCCATGCTAGATTTGATATTTACCAGGAAGGAGGAAGAGATATTTGACATTCAGTACCTTCCTCCTTTGGGTAAAAGTGACCATGTCTTTTTGGGAATAAAGTATGCAATGCGTTATAAGCTGGAAGAAAATAAGGAGGTTGAAGCAGTTGAAAAACCAGACTTCAGGAGAGGACATTATGGTGACCTTAGAAATTTTTTTAGTGAGTATAATTGGACAGACTTGATGCTAGGCAAGGAAGTGAATGAGATGTATGGCAAGTTTTGTGAAATATATGATAAAGGCACAAAAAAATTTATACCAAAACAGAGATGCAGAACTAGGAAACAGGATTGGTTCAATAGAAATTGCGAGAGGGCTAGAGACCGAAAGACACAAAAATGGAATCAATACAGGAAGAGGCCGAACCCCCAAACATACCAGCGATACAAAGATGCGAGAAACAACTACACGGCAGTGAGGAGAGAGGCAGAAAGAAATTTTGAAAAAGGGATTGCGGACAAATGTAAAACAGAACCAGGTCTATTCTATAAATTCATAAACAACAAATTGCAGGTAAAGGATAATATTCAGAGGTTGAAAATGGGAAATAGATTCACGGAAGATGAAAAGGAAATGTGTGAAACACTAAACGAAAAGTTCCAAAGTGTGTTTGTACAAAATGAAATCTTTAGGGAACCAGATACAATAAGAATTCCAGAGAACAACATAGAACACATAGAGGTGTCTAGAGACGAAGTGGAAAAAATGCTCAAGGAGCTCGGTAAGAACAAAGCAGCTGGCCCAGATGGCGTTTCACCATGGGTTCTGAGAGAATGTGCATCTGAGCTCAGCATTCCACTTCACCTGATCTTTCAGGCATCCCTGTGTACAGGAATCGTAGCAGACGGGTGGAAACAGGCTAACATAGTTCCAATCTACAAAAGTGGCAGCAGGGAAGACCCCCTCAATTATAGACCTGTATCATTGACAAGTGTAATAGTGAAAGTATTGGAAAAACTAATCAAAACTAAATGGGTAGAACACCTAGAGAGAAATGATATAATATCAGACAGACAGTATGGTTTTCGATCTGGAAGATCCTGTGTATCGAATTTACTCAGTTTCTATGATCGAGCCACAGAGATATTACAGGAAAGAGATGGTTGGGTTGACTGCATCTATCTGGACCTAAAAAAGGCTTTCGACAGAGTTCCACATAAGAGGTTGTTCTGGAAACTGGAAAATATTGGAGGGGTGACAGGTAAGCTTCTATCATGGATGAAAAATTTTCTGACTGATAGAAAAATGAGGGCAGTAATCAGAGGCAATGTATCGGAATGGAGAAATGTCACAAGTGGAGTACCACAGGGTTCAGTTCTTGCACCAGTGATGTTTATTGTGTACATAAATGATCTACCAGTTGGTATACAGAATTATATGAACATGTTTGCTGATGATGCTAAGATAATAGGAAGGATAAGAAATTTAGATGACTGTCATGCCCTTCAAGAAGACCTGGACAAAATAAGTATATGGAGCACCACTTGGCAAATGGAATTTAATGTTAATAAATGTCATGTTATGGAATGTGGAATAGGAGAACATAGACCCCACACAACCTATATATTATGTGAGAAATCTTTAAAGAATTCTGATAAAGAAAGAGATCTAGGAGTGGTTCTAGATAGAAAACTATCACCTGAGGACCACATAAAGAATATTGTGCAAGGAGCCTATGCTATGCTTTCTAACTTCAGAATTGCATTTAAATACATGGATGGCGATATACTAAAGAAATTGTTCATGACTTTTGTTAGGCCAAAGCTAGAATATGCAGCTGTTGTGTGGTGCCCATATCTTAAGAAGCACATCAACAAACTGGAAAAGGTGCAAAGACATGCTACTAAGTGGCTCCCAGA